AACTCGATAGTCTACGCAGAATTGCCAATCCCCATCCGTCTTTTTCACTAATAGAACTGGTGATGAGAACGGGCTCTAACTGGGCCTTATCAAACCCGATTGTAAAAGCTCCTTCACCATCCTCTTGATTTCAGTTTTTTTGGTAATGAGGATATCGATACGGTCGTATACTTACAGGTCCCGTGTTTGGTTGTAATGGGATGCGATGATCATGTTGCCGATTTGGGGGAAGGCTAGTGGATGGTTCGAATACTTTTGAAAGCTCAGTCAGGAGATGAGCCATGTCTGGTGGATATAAGTTGGGTAGGGAGCTAACAACAGAGGGAGTGATTTGGAGAAAAAGTCCACTAGCTTGTAAGTGGTTGAATTCCTTATCTGTTAAAGCTTCGATTCCAACATGCTACAGCCTTTGGAAGGTGTGGGGAACCCCTCTGACTTTGAAGGTCATGGTGAGTTGCTTGTAATCCATCTCGATAGGCCCAAGAGTTTCAAGCCAATGTACCCCCAAAACTAGTTGGCATGCTGTAACTGGAAGAACATAATAGTCTGCTGTGATGGAATGGCCTTAGATGGTGATGTTAAGCGCCTGACACTGCCCAGCACATTCTATTTTCTCTCGATTGGCCACCGTCACTTGAAATTTTTTGTCCCGAATCACAGGTAACCCATACTTAGTAACTATAGCTTGATCGATGAAGTTATGAGTGCTGCCGCCGTCTATCAACGCAGTTATATTTTTATTTTTTAGTCTGCCCATGACACGTATTGTTTGTGGATGATTGGTTTCGGCAATCGCGTGAAAAGAAATTTCTGGCATGGTCTCATTACTCTCTAGCTCACAATTTTCATCATTGGTTGAGCCTAGGTGCAAAGAATCTTCAATCATGAATAATTGTGGTCGTTCACAACGATGACCAGGAATGAACTTCTCATCGCAATAATAACATAACCCCTTATCTCAACGTTCTCGGGCCTCTTGGTTGGTGATTCGACGAAAGGTCATTGGAGCAGTGTATGAATTTGGACTTATACGTTGGTTCAGTGAGGGGCCTAGTACACCAGCTGTAGGATTAGTGTTTGTCTTTGGGGCCACTGAAATTGGTTGGAGGCGTAGTGGTTGGCTTATTTTCTTCTGTAACTGATTTCTTTCCTCAATTAGTTGAGCGACTCCTATCGTATCAGCCAAGGTATTGGGTTGTTTAATTTTGACATCTAGACGGAAGTCATCTCAAAGTCCTACAATGAAACAACCAATGAGAAAATTTTCAGGCAGGCCATCAACTTGGTGGGAAAGCTTCTCGAAAGCTTCCTGGTAAACGGCGACAGTTGATGTTTGTTTAAGCTGAGTTAGAGCTTCCGATGGATCTTCGTAATCAGTTGGACCAAAATGGAGGAGGACTGCTTTGGTGAACTCTTCCCAAGTCAGTCGCCCTCGAAATTTTGTTAACCACCGGTGCCATTGTAAGGTGATGCCCTCCAGATGAAAAGAGGCCAACTGGACTTGTTGGTCACATGCAATGTTTTGAAACTCAAAGTATTGTTCTGCCTTATAAACCCAGCCACTTGGGTCCTCACCATTGAACTTTGGGAAGTGCAGTTTGAGATGGTGATGATGGTCAGTATGAATGTGGGATCGCACAACATTTGGAGAATGTGAGGTTTCTCCTGGGTAAAATGGGTTGACGTCAACCTGGCTAGTAGGGTTAGGGGTTCTTAAGGCCTATAACTCCAATAATACAGTGCGCAGAGCAACATTAATTTGGTCGAAATTCGACTCGTGTCGAGCCAAAGCTTCGTTCACCTCATTGCGAAATTCCATATTGGTTTTGCCACGAGTGTCCATCACGGAACCGCGCTCTGATACCAATGATATGTTTGAATTTATTTTCTTTTTGCAGAGAAGAAGCTAACAGAGAAGTAGAGAAGGAGGAAGAGAGTAATGGAACTATTAAACTTGCCTCTTTAATGACGACAATTACAACTATATATAGTAGTCTTAGAATAAAAAATCATGCTGATAATGAGGAAACGGCCTATCCTACTGAAGCTAAAATAAAGCAATGCATGGCTTATTAAATGGAACTGACAAACAGGATAAATTAGACTAAGTCCACCCCACGTGTCCACTTCATATGATAACAACAAATAAAATATTGAAATCAGTTGCATGGCTTGGTTGCATGGCTGAGCTTTGTGAATTCTAAACACGTATCAGAACCTAAATTTAGTAATCACATATTGACATTTTAAATTTTCAGTGATCGATTGAAAACATGCATTAAGTTAGTGACCAAATCTCGATATTTTAAACTTATATGATCAATCGAAGACATGAACATAAGTTCTTGAAACAGTTATCTATATCAAATCTAGAAGCCCATTTTACCCATTTTAAAAATCTTGACAAGTACCCTTTCCTTAATTTTTTATTTATTATTTTTTTTTGGGTGTTTTGAGTTCAAATTTGTACTTGAAGAAAAAAGTGAACTGCCAACTCGAAATTCCAAGTGCCAGATTGTGAATGAACCACCATTTTTCCAAAATTTCAAGTACAAAATTTAATGGAATTTTATCCTACAATTTTACCTCATTTGTATTTTTGAAATTGATTTTTATTTTGTTGGGTTTGTGACCCAAATTATAGTAGAATTTCTTTTTTAGAAATAAATTGTTTCCTCATTTTCATGTGGGAAAATTGTTTCCTTATATTTCATGTGATTTTTTATGGTAACAAATTATTTTCATCTTTATGCTATACCATGTACCTATAAAAAGTGGTCTTTTCTTTCAGTTTTGTTAACGCAAGAATTGCTAAGTTCTTGTATTTCTCTCCATATTGTCGATTAATAAAATGTCGTGCTTCTGCGATTAACTCTTTATGTTAATTTCTTTACTTTTAAATCTTGTTTCTCATCGCTATCTTCATTACTTCATATCGCGTCATTAATCTCATTCACTACAATTCTTCCAGGTCCAACAAGTAGTATCAGAGCCTTGCTTTTCTTCTGAGGATTGGTTGAGATTTTTCCATAGGATGTCTTAAAGGAGAAAACAACAGCTGCTTTGTGGTTGAAACTGGAGCAGTTATGTATGAGTCTTATCAGTAAACTGACTCTAAAGTAGAAGCTGTATTCCCATCGCATGGCGGAAGGAGGGTCGTTGGAAGACCATAATGTTGTGTTCAAGAAAATTGTCACAGATTTGAAAATGTTGGAGGTTAAGTACGATAAAGAGGATCTTGCTTTGATCATGTTATGTTCACTACCTAGCTCTTATGCGTCGTTTCAGGACACTACTTTGTATAGTTATGATACTTTGACTGTAGATGATGTCTATGATACTTTGCACTCAAAGGAAAAGTTCAAGCATTTGGTTGGAGCTACATCGAAGGATGATGAAGCTCTTGTATCTCATGGTGGTCAACAGAAGGATAGATCGAAGAATAACAAAATTTGTTTTGCTTCTACTGCAGATGTAAGGGACATTTTTGGAAAAATTGTGATAAGTTGTAGGTTAAAGGAGATTTAACTGCAAATCAGAGAGTGTAACCTTTGATTTCAGATGAAACAAATGTAGTTGATGATTTTTCAGACAGCGGATATGTGATGTTGACCATGTTATCTGACATAGAATTTAGGCCTGACGAGGAGTGGATTCTTGATTCAGCATGTTCGCATCATATGTGTTCTAATCGAAATTTCTTTTAGACATATGAGGCTAATTACCAAGGTAGAGTTGTAATGGGAAACAGCCAGTCTTGCCGTATTGTTGGGATAGGTGGAGTCAGATTTAGGCTACGGGATGGGACATTCAGAACAATTGATCAGGCTCGATATGTTCTAGACCTGAAAAGGAATCTCATTTCACTTAGTACTCTGAATGCAAAAAGGTATAAATTCTCTGATGGAGGTGGAGTTTGAAGGTTCGAATGGGTGCTGGGTTGTATTGGAGGGACGGAAGAAGTCTCAGTTGTACATCTTGTAGGGAAGTGCAGAACTAGTTAAAAGACATCGGGACAAGTTTAGCACCATGATATATATTCGATTTGGTACAGTACCTCTTGTGATGGGTTCTGGGTCGGTTTAGAACATTGCCCAGGGGAGCATTGGTGATTTATCTTTGTCACCAATTTCAACGGATTTATTTGCTAGGGTTGGACTCATGTAACGTAGGTATCCTAGAGTCAATAATGTCTAGGATGTTTTTTTGGAACGTTGAAGGCGACAGTTCTGGCAATGGGCCTTCTGATCTAATATGTGGTATGATTTCTGCTACAAGGTATGCTTTGACCCTATTTGATCAACAGTAATTTTGGGAACCCATGATTTGGGTTCAGGGATCATTTGTGGATGTCTTACACAGGACGACAATTTGGTTTGGAGAGTTTCGGTTACTATGTTGAGGAGATTGACTATTTCGATGCAGACGAATTTGAAATCTTGAAGTTTCGTCGTTACACCGAATTTTGGGTCAATGTTGAGATTGATGGGTTTGTGACCCAAATTAGGGTATATTTTTTTAGAAATAAATAGTTTCCTTATTTTCATGTGGAAAAAAATGTTTTGTTATATTTCAAGTGATTTTTTATCAAAATATATTTCCTTATTTCACATCATTTTCATCTTTATGCTATGCCATGTACCTATAAATAATGATCTCCTCTTCCAATTTTGTTAATGCAAAAATTGCTGAGTTCTTTTATTTCTCTCCATGTTGTCAATTGTCGTGCTTCTATAATTAACTCTTTTTGTTAATTTCTTTACTTTAAAATCTTATTTCTCGTTGTGATCTTTATTACTTTCATATCGCGTCATTAATCTCATTCGCTACAATCTTTCTTACTTTCATATCACGTCATTAATCTCATTTACTACAATCCTTTTAGGCCCACCATATTTGTCAATTTCACCCCCCATTACGGCATTTGCATTTCAGATGCAAATTGCAACCTTTGTACAAAATATCAAACTAAACTCAAAATTCAGTTAAAAAATTAATAATTGAGAGGAAATAGAAGAAGAGCTTAATTTTCGATACTAAAAAAATTATTGAGTCTTTCATACTAGCACTAACAAAAGATACCTTAAAGTCACCAAAACAACAATTTAAGAACACCTTAAAATTTTAAGAAACAGGCATTAACAAAACCAATCTTTAATTTCTCCAAATCAAAGATTCTTCAAGCTCAGGAAGCTTGTGAACCGGTGGCATGCTGCTGCCCGAAATGCTCTGCCTTATCCTTCATCTCCCTAGCCTTAATAGACAGCTTCGTCTGCGCCTGATCAAGCTGCTCTGCACCAGGAGGGTGTTTTCCGGTGACGTATCGATAAATCCACGACAGAACACTAACAGCCGCCACTCCAAATCCACCAGAAGCAAGGAAACCCGAGCACACCAAGAAAATCGTTATGGCTGCCGGTACCAGCACCGGACTGAAAATTACAAGCAAAGGAGTGGCTAGAGCGAGAGCAATCACAGTTCCAGCCAGAGTCAAGCCAGACAGGACTAGGAGAGAACCACCAGCAGTTGCAGCAGTGACGGCTTTCACTATCTGATGGGACCGCTGCGGTAGAGTCTGGTAGTGTTGCTGCTGCCTGTCGTGGTACTGCTCAGTCATTTTTGCGAACCTGAAGTCGTCAATGAAAATTAATTGTGCAAAATAAGTGAAAATTATTGAAAAACAAGCTGGGAATAATGAAGACTAGTGAATTGAATGCAGAATTATATAGAAAGGGAAAAGGTGTACGTGTTGGATAGGGGATGTCACGTGGTGGAGAGCTTGACATGCAAAGGTTGCATGTATTGAAGAGGCGTTTGTGTGGAGACACGTCAAATTTTGCAAGAATATGTGGTGTCGATAGAGGTATGAGATTTGAAGATTATCCCGAAAATGAAAATAGCCTTGTTTGATGAAGTTTAAAATTAATTTTTTTTTATTTGAGAAAAGTTGATAAAATATATAATCTAAAAGTTATATACTTCATAAAATATATAGTTAAAATTAATTATTAATTTTAACTTAAAAATAAATCGATAAAAAAAAAACTTAAAAGAGTGCGGCGAAATATGTTCTTTAAACTAATTTTGGTGACCAGGAATATAAAGAATTTATGGTGTGTTTGATTACATTTATTTTCCATGGAAAATATCAGTTTTCTATCCAAATTTTCACTTGGAGTGTTTGATTGCTATTTTTTTCTATGGAAAATATTTTCCAACTTTTGAAAATATGCCTAATTTTCCTTATTTTTAAGGAAAATATTTTCTTTGGGTAGAGGTGATTTTTATTTTCCACAAAAGATGGAAAATATTTTCTTTTCTAGGTAATATTTTTCATGTCAATCAAACACACTCTTAATATAAAATTGTACAGTTATAACGGAAGGTTGATAATATTATAGTTGATTAAGGTAATTAGTATTCTTTAATCTTTTAATCAGGGAAAATTAGATTACCAATCATACAACATAATAGCCATCTTGGAACAAATATCTTTCTTTTGCTAAAAGATCAAAAAACTTTAATCCACTTCAATATCATTTACTTATTACTATTTATTATATTCGCATATTAACTTTCTATGCGATCTAATATAGGATGTCAACGAGTTGAGTCGGCTCGCGAGTCGAAACTCAAAGCTCGAGCTCGATTCGAGTAAAATAACACAGGTTCTTTTGGAACCCGAACAGAGCCTAGCAAAAGTTTGGCAAAAAAAACAAAGCTCGATCCAAACTTTTGGCTCGGGCCTCAACGAACCGAGCCGAGCCCAAAACAGCTCGATTTTTTCTCTCTCTCCTTTTTTATATTTTAATTTTTTTATGCTGCATTTCTTAAGGTGGCAGCAGCCAGCTACCTTATTTAAGGCAGCAGCTTGAAATAAAGAGCTGCCTTTTTTTTTCTTATTTAAATAAGGCTCGAGCCCGAGTCGGCGAGTCACACAGGCCGGCTCAGGCTAAGCCCGGAACCTCAAAATGGGGCTCGACTCGAGCCTTGGGTCAATTCCATCGAGCCTCGAGCCTAGTCGGCTCGAGTTTTTTTCAGGCCGAGTCATAAACGGCCCGAGCCGACGAGCCCAATTGACATCCTTAATCTAATATAATATATCAAACGCAATATAGATCGATTACACTATATTTGTCAGATAACTCTGAAAAATGTCTCTAACTTGCTTCCACAATTATTATCATCATCACGTTGGGGGCAGGGATTGTCAAAGTTTAATCTCTTTGATCGTAGCTAATTCTTTTTGTAAATGATCATATTATGTAATGAAATACTTAAACTCGAAAATAAACGCGCAAGCCATTAAGCCCGAGTTGTGAATAGTGATTACTGAGTCTACCGTTTTCTGCAAAAATAAAAATATTAAAATCATTCATAAAGTTAGATTGAATCTATCCCTATTTAGAAATTATTTAAATTTAGATTTTAATCTAAATCAAAGTCAACAATCAATTTTAAGCAAATATATAAAGAGTTCCATAACTTTTCGACCATCACTACAAGAAACTAGAGTTTTCCCGACCAACTAAAATTTTGTCAGCGACTATACTCTTTTATCGACCAGTAAAAATACGTAGTCGGCCATATCTTTGCCGACCAACTTTTTACCGACCCAATTGAAATAGTCAAGGAAAATAGTCTTTGCCGACCACTTTTTACCGACCAACTAGAAATTAGCCACTAAAAATTCTATTTACCGACCAAAGTATTTTTTTTAGCAGGCATAGACGATATATATTTGTCGACTAAACATAAATGGTCGATGAAAATCCTAATTTTGGGCCAAAAATATTGGCGGGGGATGAAAATCCTAATTTTGGATTGTCCAAAATATAGGTTTAGGGTAAGAAAATTTTCAATTTCGCTCCTCCCCAACTCTGCATCTCTCCCCTCTCTCCCCCCTTTTCCTGTGCCATCCGTCTCTCTCTCCCCCGTCTGCATCTCCCAAAGCATTCTTGAAGTTGACATTGTAGTGGTAATTGTTTTCTAGTTTTATCTTTAACCCTTCTTTATTTCATCATTAGCAATAATTTTCTCTCTACTGGATTTTTACCTACATTACATGTCCACAAAGAGCACCATCTCTACATTCTACTGAGGATCTTTTTTATGCAGAACTCACATCATTCATCATTATTGCTTCCTGGGTGAATGTTTGTTTCTAACTTCCACGTTGTTGTTAAATTGTCGATTTGCAATTAGATTTTCATGGGGTTATTGATGAATGGTATTTTTCTTCTTGTCATTCGTTGAGAAAAATAGTTTTCCCATTTCCCCCCCTAATTTTGATGATAAATTCATTCTCTTAAATGCAAATGCACATTTCAGTAAGATCTTATTTAGAGATTTGTATAATTTATTTTTACATTTCTGTATATGTGCAATTTGTATGTGGAATTATGGTGAATACTTCTAGTACAATTGTAGTATCAAATAATTGGGGCAGGTTTTCATTGTGGATTTTCTATCGTAATGGCAAGAAATATTGACCGTGTGCTTTTGATTGAGGAAATTCTGGTTTTTTTACTTGAATATCCAGGTGTATTTATACTATAGATATAGTGCTTGATTGGTGCAAATTTTAAGCCAATTAAAATCAATTTTTTGATCGTTATTTCATTATTCCAGCTGTCATTTTTAATTCTTCTCTCACATATAAGACCACTTTATTTCTAATGATAAAAAAATCAATTATCAATATCCCTACCAAACAAGCTCATATTTTGTATTCATATATGGTTGCTATTGATATGTGTAGAATCTAAATCTGCTACATACTTCACCTGGCAAGTCAGCCGCATACATGAACATTGATAAAGTTGGAGCACTTGAGATCCAACATTTTATATGTTAATTTCCTTTTCTTTTCACCTCTCCTTTTGTTTTGGTTCTCCATGACTTAAGCCAAGACTGTGAATGCTGATTCATTCGGTAATTAAGATTCCAGATCTCTGTTTTTATTTTAGTTCCTTTTGAACATAGCTATTGTCTCGTTGGAATATAATTAGCCCCTGTTTGGTTACCAAAAAATTGATAAGAAGTATTTTTATTCAGCAGATAGATTGCTAGAAATGTTTTAGTGTTTTTGTGTTTTTTTCTTTCTTTTTTTTTTTTTTTTTTTTGACATCATATTCTTTTGTCACTTGCAGTGGCACCACTCAAGCGTAAATATTCATCTCTTAACGAGTTCCTGGAGAAATCAGTGGCCACTTCCTTTAAGGAGTTTTGATATGAGCTACACGCATACTAAAAGGAGTATCTAGAACAACCAATGGCTCATAGGAAAGCAAATAAGCCAAAAGAAGTCTTCACTAGACTGATTGGGATCATTTGTGTGATTATTGGGAAAGTGGGTGATTTCAGGTGCAATATTTAGTTTCACAGGTATTTATATTCATTTGTTTACTTATTTAGTTCGTTGACTATATTCATTTCTATTTAATTGTACATTACAGAAAAGATCCAAAGTAGCAAAGAGTTTACCCCTTTTTTTGGTTCCAGATCTTTTATTCAATGTCAGGCAATAGGGGTAAGTAAGAAGCAAAATAGATGCATTTCGGGAGACTGGATAGAATTCAGCCATAAAAGGATACACATTACAAGGATATCAAAGGCTGGATCCATCTTGTGGCTGAGGAGAAATATGTAATGAACAAATGTCTTTAACATTATTTTTACTTAATGGAACAAATATTTTACTCCCTTATTTGCATTAGTACTTTTCTAACGTCGCGCAGAAGGAGATGATAGACGTACAAATCACTCAAGAGACATATGTTGACGGAGAAGTGAGGAGATTCAAGGAGGAGATTTGCCAGGTGCTACTGCTAAAATAAGCAGCCTTAGAGTGCCCACTACTTACCCGTCTTCTGTCTTCATCGCCTGATCATGAGTCAACTGATTATTAGTTTAGAGTTATCTTCATGGTTGATTCTCTATTATAGCTTATGTTACTTCTGGACTACACTAATCTTCTCATATTATGGAACATGATTAGGCTTTTTATTGCCTATGCTACCATTTTGGACTATATGTTTATGTAGTTACTCATATTTTGGAAGTTGAATTGACTTGTCTTTGATATAATATATTATTTTGTCTTACATATATTTTGCTATTGCTTTGTGATTTCAAATAGTTCTTGATTTTAGATTTGTGTTGGTACATTGCGTTGGAGTTGTGCTTTTAATCTATTTTGAAATTTAAACTATTGCACATATTCAAATTTTTATTTTTATTTTATTTTATTTTGTGCATAAAATCACATTTATCAATTGAAACAATTGTCAGCACTTTCTTAAATGTTCTTAGTTGGCAGAGGTTTTGCTAGTCCTGACCAATAAGAAATTGGTAAACAAAAATATGTATATCTACTGACTAAAATTCCAATTTTACCTACTCAAATATTTGGTTGGCAAAGGTTAAATCATTCCCGACGAACATGGAATTGGTAAGCAAAACTCTTATATTTGCCGACTAACATGCATTTTAGTCGGTAAAAACTTTTGCTGGCTGCCCTTTGGCGATCAGCTTCCAACCAGTATTTTCTAGTCAGGAATTAATTTTATCGGCTGATAATGGACCTTTAGCAACTAATCTTTTGGTCAGCAAAGCTCACTTTTCTTGTAGTGCATGCCCTTTTATCAATTTTTAACAAAACTTAATAAAAACATATTTGAATTTCTTAATTTTTATTATTAATTTAAAGTAAATTATATTTTTATTTTCAAAAATAGTGTTCTAAAAGGCGTAATGCGTAATAATGGGTGAAAGCCAAGCCGTGTGTTAGAAAAGTTTAGGTGAGGCATGAGCATAAAAAAATGTAAACTGGCTTTTTCTTATTTTAATATTATTTTAATTTTTAATAAATAAAAAATTATTTAATAATTAAAAATAATACCTAGCAAACATGTAAAACAGATTTATAGGAATTTTATACATTTTTTTTTTCAATTTTCATCAAAAAATAAGTTTCAAAATGTAAATACTAAATAGCAAGTAAATGGTATAGGAACTTAAATTTTATCTAATTCTTTATCGGACTTCAATTCAATATCCTCTTTTTCATCTAATTCATCCTCTGTGTAATCCGATACAAAATCATCCTCATCAAGCTCCCTTATTTGAAGCAAAGCATATTCAATTAATTATTCATTAATCATTAGTGAGTAAAATGTAACAACCTAATTAATACTTATCCCTTCACCAGAACTCCAATTTCTTTCACAACTAGATGAACTAGCAGTCAACCAAGTATCATTTATGCCATGGTCTTCAAATTTGGTGTTTCATTCCCATAAAAACTCCACCAACTCACTAAGAAATATAAATGAAAGAAACAAACATGTTATTTTTAATATTTATATAGTCCAATAGAAAATATAATAAATTATTGATACGAGAGAAAGACTAATATGTTAACATCTGGATTGTAATTTTCATCGTTGTTTTCACATGCACTTATTGTAAGCTTCCTTCCAAATGAACCTTCCTTTTGGAAATATCTTTGCAACTCAATATTTATCACATTACGTTACATTTGATGATTAGGAAAGAATTTCTCAACACAAGCAATCAAATTATTTATCATGAATGAATCATCTTTGTTACGTGGATTTTTGAAGAAATAGAATGGATTTAAAAAATAAGCAGCCATATGAAGTGGATTATCAAGGCTACCCTTGTTTTTAGCATAAATAATGTCCAAGATTGACCTATAATCGCACTCCTTCAATGTCATCACTTGCCTTTAGTAGCTCTCCATAAACAAAGCCCATTGAAGACTTTTCTTCTCCATCAACAAGTCTAAGAACTTTCACTGGTCGAGTGAATACCTTCCAAACTTCAAAATATGCATTTTGTTGCACTCATATGATCTCAAAACCGATCATTTTAAAATGGATATTATAATTTACAATCCAAGGGCCTAATTTCATGAGTTTTCAAATAAAAATTGTGGTTCTAGGCACCTTTCAATTTAGATATTATTTTCTGTATGAATTTTCACCATTTCTTATTGCCATATTTTTCTCTCGCGTCCTAGACATGTATTGGAAATTGAGGGGAGTTGAATAGAGGTTAAGGAAAGTTGTGAATTTGAATTCCATTCAAATTATTCCTTAAAGTCTTGCGGACACGGGCGGATCCACATGGAGTCATATGGGGTCAAATGAACTCACAAAATTTTGGGTTTTTTTTTCAGAAAATAATTGTTTTAACCGTTTTATTATCTACTTTAATACATGCATGAAGTTGGAACATTGCATTTTTAATATCATTTCGAAGTGCTCATAACCTAGTTTTTCGCTTCTTAATGGCTTGCGAAATGATCAACCATAGCAAAAGTTATGATGTATCAAAATAAATCACTCCAAATTAGTATTTCGAAAAGTCCAATAATACGCTAACTTTTAAAAATTTCCAATGATCGTATATTATCTGAATTCACAAATCGCCTTGTGTCATGTAGAAGCTTGTTTCGAAAATTATATCTTAGTCATATCGAATGGTCCAAACGGATATTGAAAATAGTTAAACATTTGTCAAACGTACGTACGAGAAAAGACATTTAACTTGTTTTTTCTTTTAAAAAAATTCAATATTTCATTAATGTTTATTATTTTTGTGTGATAAATTTTTCAATATTATTTTCATCATTTTATTAGGAAATTTTACATGGAAGATGACGTCAAAAATTCTAAAATCGTTACGGATTAAATGTAATTTGAATTACTTTTAAATTATTTTTTCATTGAAATTAAATTTCATTTACATCATAAATTAAATATGAATTTTATTTCAAATCATTTACTTCGTACATCCAATTTGATTTATTCGCCATTAACTCAACATCTAAAAATAACATGGTAAACAAAATTATACGTGTACCAAAATTCATTTAACACTATTGATAGTGATATAACTATAAGACATTTTCAAGGTTTCAAAATGCGTATTAACTTATTTTCATTAATATTATATTATTTTGAAAAATTATACATTACTTTTTGACCCCACAACCTAGAAAGGTTGGTTCCGCCCCTGCGGATCGGATTGGGTCATCCCCACATGGACGACTTAGTACGACTCAATTTTTTCAACAGTATTCATCCTCCAGTTTATTACTTTAGGATATATTCAAATTTTATCCCAGTTGGAATCCTAGTCCATGGGCTTAAAGGTTTGTATGTACAATTATAAATACATGTATTGTATCAATGAAATAGATATTAATTCCTTATCATGTGTAGTCTTCTATCTTAAATTAATTAAATCCATGTTTGATATAGATTAAAATAAGATTTTTATTAAATTTTGCTAATTATTGACTTTGATATGAAATTTCTGTGAACTTTTAATTCATGCCAAATATGAGCTAAATATTTTTCTATTGTCTTGGGACAGGAGCTGATGAAATCGGTTGATTCAGATTTTATTGACACTTTTGCAACTCATTGTTAATTAGATCGAGTTTATAATATTTACCCGTTAATAATCGTGTTTTTTCTATTTTCTTCTATTTAAGATTATCAATTTTATTTTGTGTAGAAATCTTGAATGAGACAATAATTTTTCAGAACGTTTATATTCTTTGGTTTACCCATAAACAATTGTGATTTTTTCAGTAAGGTTTATGATACTATTAAGAAAAATATACGTTAAAATCTTTATCTTTATATTATCAATTTTTATTTAGGTACGTATCGAACATGCACTCACATATTGATTGAATATATTTGGTAGTGGTATGTTGATGATAACATGGATAGCGGGGGCTAAGTTAAACCCGATTCTTCACTTGTATGTGAAACCTCTCAAAAGCGAGGGGCAAGCTGGGTCATTTTGACGCCACTAATTTTTTTCACACGTGCTAGACAGATGTTAAATGAGTAATGTTATTTAGTCTCACTGAGATTATAACCTAAATCCAAGGGTGGATCCACATGGGGTCAGATAACCCCACAAAATTTTGGGTTTTTTTCTTCAAAAAATGGTTGTTTTAACTCGTTTTCGACCCACTTTAATACATACCAAATGAAAAATGAAATATTGCATTCTTAATATCATTTCTAAGCATTCATGGCCTAATTTTTTGCTTCTTAATGGTGTACAAAATGATCGACCATAGCAAAAGATACGATGTATTAAACTTTTCACCCCACAACCCAAAACGGCTGGATTCGCCCCTGAATGCAACTATATTTTTTCTAGGAGGCTTGATAGCAGTGCCGTCTTATTCTTTATACAATCCAGTTGTGTCATGTAATACGTTCCAAACGAGCATATTATAGACGTACACACAAATATATATGCATGTATGTAATTATATAGACATATGAATTTACAGAAACAGACCATACTCTTCAAGCTTAATGCGGTTTGTTTGGTTGATTTTCTCTTCCATTTCAGGGGTTAAATAGTTCTCCCAATCCCCAACAACACCTTTCCTGAAGTACAAACTGTTATGCACATTGAACAAAGTAGATCCATTCTTGTTCACCTCCAAATTCTTCAACCTCTCCAAACTGCATCTCCACAGAACCTTATCAATTTCCTCTTCACTTGCAAATGGCTTCCCAAGAAATTTAGCAAGTTTCTTAACCTCTCCCTTGGGATCCCTTTTCAGTTCTTCATACTTCAAGAACAGTATTTTCTGCGGATTCTTCTGGCTTTCCAACCAGTACTGTAAAACGTGGTCGAAAAAGGGCCCGTACTGATGAACCCCAGATAAGAAACAATCGACTGTATTTTCTAAGGGAAAAGGGTCTTGATCAGGGTGTAAAATGGAATTGAAAAAGTGCCACATGGAGATTAAATTGTCCTTAGGGTTCCGGGCAATGTAAACTATTTTACAGTCTGTGTTCTTGATTGAATCTGGGAGGACAATGTAGGGCAAATGACTGTGGAGAAGCCGAGGTGAAGGAGCTTTGTAAAGATCCATATGGGGTTTTGTGCCGTAAATTGTGCTTTCAATTGTTGGGACATGGAAATGAGGGTTATCCTTAACTAAAAGATCATAATCCGCGTCAGTATTTGGGTTTTTAAGGATGCAGAGACAGAGAGATTTGAGCCATGTTGTGCCCGTTTTCATGTTCGACGTTAA